TTCCATGTCTGACAACTACCTGGAAGCCAATATCCATTTCAAGCCTACCGCCTGCTGTGTTCATCCAGCCCTGCACCTTGTTGTCTCTATTATTCCTCATGTTTATTTTTACATATTTCATTATCATTTGAATTAAAGTGAAATTGAAGGGAGCCAGGTTTTTAAAACAGAGAGACTTATATAACTAGTTCAAAAATAACCACCCCATATCCTTTTTTTTAAGCCCCTTTATCATTCTTTAACAACAATATTATCCAGCTGTTTCCTGAACTTCCGTTCACAATCACTGTGCACTCTTCACATTCCACACAGCGAACTTTAAACCTCTAGTCAACTTTCCCTTTCTTGGCTTTGAGATTGTGCTCCTGACTGTAAACTTTGCATCACAATCTTGCATTTAATAAAAATCGAAGTGGTTATTTGAAGCTGAACGTCAGGATCTCCCATAACATCACAGTTTTGTTAGGCAATGGGCAGGCAGGATTTCAGTCAATGTGAAGGATGAGAGTTTGATTTCAGTCAGTTTTCTAGCAGCTTTCTGCTTTGCATAATTTCAGCGTGCAATGTCATAATCTCTATCACACTATGTCTGAGGAAGGGGCTGAGCTCTGAAAGCTTGCGTTTTCAAATAAACCTGTTGTACTATACCCTGGTATCATGTGGTTTTTGACCTTGTCCAAACCAGTCCAACACTGGCATCTCTACAACATGTCATATGAGACATGAAAGTCAACCAATGCTAACATTTGGTTGCATAGCTGCCACCTTCTTCATTTTCTGACTGGATTTGAAGGGACTACTTTGCTAGAGAAAGACTATAGGGTAAAAATGAGGTGTTGTCTTAAACAAGATGTAGTTTATTGAATGATATCAATCAAACACAAGTTACATTAGTCAGATACACATTGGTTGAGAATTTCCCATGCATTTTTCTAAGGGTGGGTGTGAGTGGGTTAGGTGTGATTAATGTCTCATTACCACCAGTGAGATAATGTGCCAAATTTCCCACCTCTCAACACAAATGTAAGTATTTTGCCCTATCAGAAGTCTCAACAGCAGTGTGTTCGGTCTTCAGAAACTGTCGGCCTCTGGTCCTGAGGCAAAGTAGGCCCAGTCCTATTTTGGAGAGGACCTAGAGGCGAAAAGATAAAATTTATTTTTATTCCCCTCTCAGGATGGATATCCTGGGAGTGGGGGAAGAGAGTTGGGGGGGCGGTGTCTGAGGCAAGGGCACGGGTTGACTGTCCATAACCTATGCCTCCACCTGGGCCACAGATCAGGGCCCTTATCACTGGAAAGTCGAGACCTTCTTATTTAATTGCAGAGGTGACGAGAAAGGTATGAGTTTCTCTTCAGTGCAAACTCATCCAATTACTTTCCCTTTTCTCACCTCTCCCTCACCAGCTCCAGGAATGGCAAAAATCCACCCATTGTCACTAAAACTATCGGGAGGCCTACAATAACAGGTCTGTCCCTTCCAGAGCCGAGGATGCTCTGCTTTTCTCTACCTAAGTTTTTAAGGCATCATCAAATTACATGAAGCTTAATACAGTCTTCAGCATTAACCCTTTCAGAATTATTGTCTAATACAACACTCACCAAATCTGCAGTGAAATTACACCTGGCAGAGTAAGCCACGGGTAGGGAATGCCTGGAGCAGCAGTCAGAGATGTAGAGTAATGGGAGCATAATCAGAAACATACATGATGATCATATAATGATGTTAAAATCACATGACTGTGTAGAGAGAGGTGGAAGTGAGTTGAAGCTTTAACCTAGTGCTGAGAAACTGTATAGACTAAACTATAAATGCAGGGTCCTTGTAGAATGTTCCATAAAATCTCGTAGCATTACTTTAGGAGACTAGTGAGTTAGACACCAAACATAGAAGAATACTAGAGATAGCTTTGATGGACAGTCGGGAGTAGAGGGCTCACTAGTAATGATGACATTGAACATTGAATGGATAGGAGGCTTTGTGTGGAGAATTGTTAATTTAGACACATGAGTGTTTGATTTCAGTGGAAGAAAATAATAGCAAGAGCAAGAGAAGTGACATGGGCCTGAATCTGTGACACTAATACTTCCCAGCAATAATCAAGTGCTCATTATAGATGTTCATGGGAGTTCCAAAGATTCAACATTTCATCCCTGCTTCCTGGTCAGCTGCCACTTCCTGCCAGCATTGGACCAGAGCTCATACAATAAAACAAAGAACTGGGGTTGCTGAAGATCTGAAACAAAAACAGAAATTGCTGGAGAAACTCAGCAGGTCTGGCAGTGTCTGTGAGAAGAAAGCAAAGTTAACATTTTGAGGCTGGCGTTTCTTTATCAGAACAGGACTGGAGCTTGATGAAGCCAAAAATGCCTACACACTCCTCCAAAACAGTTGCAATGACTTTGACCTTGCTCAGGTGACTCCTGCCTCAAATTCAAGACAGTGATTAAGTGACTGATGTCTCCTTGCTATATTTGAGAGTAATGCATTATGCTAATGGAGAACTGTAGCGTTATAAATGAGTGTAGAATTTTCCTCATGATATATTAGCGTGCCCTATCTACAACATTGATAATCTTCCCCACAAAGAACTTCCTTCCACAGTTTTGATAAACTCAATTTTCCTATCATGTAGTATACCAAGGTCAAGACCGTTTTCCTTTCATTTCAGCTTTGTGAAAACCATCAGCTCCATATGCAACAGAAAAAACTTGAATTCCTTTGCTCCTAATCCTTTCGTTCTGGATTCCAGTCCCAACTAAGTTCATTACATTACTTCTACTTCTATTGCATAACCTTGCTCAAGCATGTCTATGTTCTCTACTCTCTCAGCTTTTTGCAACTTTTTGTTTCTTCCCTCTCAAGTATTTACCTCTCTTGTCATCTAGCCTATCACTGCTCTTCATCCTGGATATTCTAAATGCTTCAACCTAGGCTTGAATTTCCTTGAACAAGCTGTTGACTATATTTGAGGTTCTTTCTGCATTCTACAAAGTTGCCATTGTGAAACTTAGTGGTTAATTCTCCATCTTAGCTGACTGTATCCATAGGGGAATTTCCAATGATATTTGCCCAATTCTCGACGCTCAATTAAGTGGAACAGCTGCAAAAACCTAGGGAAAATGATGTGAATTTATTTCTATGGAACTTTGTTGCTCATTTTCTGAGGTTACACTTACAAAGTGAGCCTTCAGTGAGAGCCAGCTAATGTCAAACACCAAATCCTGAGAGGCTGTCAGCAATTGCAACTAAGTAAAAGGACAATTACTCACTGTTGTTCTTTCCATTGTTTTGTTCAGTACCACCAGTGGCGATTCTTCAATTGTGAGTGTAGCAGTTATATTTAGGCCTATTGAATTAAATTTTGCCTGCAATGACAAAAATAAATTAAGTCTCTGGACCCTTTAAAAACTAGTCCATTTACAGCTTGACTTTGTTTTGTTGCCGCGGTGTTGCTGAAGCTTGCAGAAAGGCCATACCTCTGATTTATCCGACAATATGGAGAACCTGTTTACTATCATTCTCAGACCAATGCTCACTTTGTTGACTCTTTGTTTTTAAAAAAATTCTATAGAATCTCTTACTATCTATTTTTATGTAAGTTATGTTCTGAATGCTTGGTAAGATGAAGCAACATGAAGCTGTGGAGCCAACGATAATGGAAGTACTACAGCGAAAAAGACAAAATGTTGACAGAAAGCAATAATGCAAGAAGATCCAAAATTTCAATTGAGATATCAAACTCTAAGGAAGCTTTCATCCATGATTTTCATAATTATGACTCAGTACCAGGACATGATATGGTATACAGGTATATGAATATTGTCATGCAAAAAGTCATCTTTGGTATGTTGTGCAAACGTTAATGTATGATTGCCATGTTTAGTCGATCCAGTGCTTGTTCTTCTTATGGAAAAAAACCCAGCAAACTCAAACATTCTTGGAAAACATCAGAAAATAGAACAGCTGATTAGCATTGCCAAAAAAACCTCTTTATTGCCAATGACAAAATATTCAGAGTATTAACAAATATTTAGGAAGTAAATGTAGATGTTGATTTTGTTCCAATGTTTTGTGAGTAACACTGATGATGTAAAAAATGATTAGGAGAAATCAGAGTAAAAATGGTAAATCTAATTAAACTGCAGTCATGCCAAGTAAAGAACATGAAAAGTAATTGTGTGGAAATGATATAAAATACACACAATTAATCTATAAATTCTTTTGAATCACAGGATTGTTATGGTGTAGAAGGAGGCCATTTGGCCCACCATGTCTGCCCCATTTCTATGACCCAGTGCCAACTGCCTGCTTTTTCTCCATTTCCCTGTACACCATGTCTCTCCAGAATACAAAGTTTTGATTCCTTTTGGTTGTGATTGGGATGTAAAGTTTCAACTTGAGACAACGATTGACTTTTTGATTCCTTGGACCACCAGAACTAGCAAATGTTGGAGTTAACTAATTATTGGTCAAATTAATATCTGAGACATTTGCGGACTGAAATTGTTTTTAAAAAAGACCAAAAACACTGTCTTAAAACAGCCACAGGCATCATCTGACCACACAAGTGGACTAATTTTCACGAAACCAATACGGATTAAACAAAGGACAGTATGAGTTTAAATTAACACTTTACCCTTTACTTAGCAATGAAACCAATCAGGACCTCACTAGAGGCATGAAAAGCTTCCTTATCCGTTATATGATTGCAACAATTTTGAGAATCTTCAAAGGTTGGGAATGAAACATTACTAATAATTAACAAGCCTGGACACAATTAAGTTCACAATTGGAATAAACAATCAGCCTGTAGTTAGGAACAGGAGTAGGCCAGTCAGCTCCTTGCACCTACTCTCCCATTCAATAAGATTATGGCTGCTCTATGGCCTAACTTCATATGCCTGTCTTGGGCCCATATCCCTTGAGACTCTTGCTGAATAAAAAACTGTCTATCTCAGATTTAAATTTTACTGAATTAACATCAATCGCCATTTGAGGAAGGGAGCTCCAAACCTCCACTACTCTTTGCGTGTGGTAGTACTTTCTGAATGGCTTCACCCTAATTCTTCAACTCTGCCCCTTGTTCTAGAATCTTCAATCAATGGGAATAGTTTGCCTTTTACCAATTATCAATATCCTGAAGATCGTGATTAGATCACCCCTTAACCTTGTACATTCTAGACAATAAAGGTCTAATTTGTCTAATCTCTCCTCATAACTTAACCCCTGAAGACCAGGTATCATACTTGTAAACCTGTGTTGAATTCCCTTCAGGGCCAAAACATCCTTCCTACGGTGTGGTGCTCAGATCAGCTCACAGTGCTCCAAGTGGGATCAAACTAGAGTTTTGTGTAACTGCAGCATAATGTCTACATCCCTATACTCTTTAGACATAGAGACCTGGATTCCATCAGCCTTCTTGACTATTTTCTGCACCTGTTTGAGGCATTTCAAAGAACTTGAACCCTGAAATACCATTGGCCATCCACAGTATTTAATTTTGTGTCTTCTGAGAGATTTCCTGATCTGTCCTTTATCAGTCCAAAATGGAAAATCTCACACTTGCTTATACTAAAATCCATCTGCCAAAGCTTTGTCCATTCACCTAATCTATCAACATCCTGTTGTAATTTTATGCTGTTCTCAACACTGTCTACAATGCTGTCCAATTGTGTGTCATCAACAAATTTGAATATTTGATTTTTTGTGCCATTATCCAAGTTGCTAACAAATGTTATGAATAATTGAGGCTCCAACACAGATCCCTGCTTGACATTAGTTACATCCTGCCAATCTGAGTATTCATCCATGATTCCAACTGTCTGTTTCTTGCCACATAATTAATTTCCTATCCATGTCAGTAATTTTCCCTCAATTCCATGGGCTCCCAGTTTAGTTAATAGTCTCTTTTGTGAGACTTTATCAAAAGCCTTCTGGAAGTCTCTATGAACAACATCTATTAATTTACCTGTGTCCACCACCCTCGTCAACTCCTCAGGTTTGTCAGGCACGACCTACCCTTCATGAATCCATGTTGACTCTCCCAGATCAACTGAAATTTTTTGAGGTGATCAGTTACCCTATCCTTGATTATAGGCTCCAATTTCCCCACCACAGATATCAGGCTAACTACTCTGTAATTCCCTGGTTTCCTTCTGTCTCTCTTCTTGAACAGCTGTGTGATGTGAGGAAATTTCCACTCCAGAGTTCAACTCTTAAGTCCTGGAGACTCTGAAAGGTTATGGTTGGGGCATCAGCATTGTGCTCTCCTGCCTCCTTTAATATCCATGGATGGAAACCACCAGGTACTGGGGATTTGTCACTCTTCAATTCCATTCATTTCCCCATAACAGGCTCTGTCCCTGATCCTCAGTTAATTTCTTTTAGCAAGATTTCTAGCAAGCTATCCTCCTATTCTGCTGTCAATACTGAAGCAAAATAATTATTCAGCATGTCTGCCATTCTGTCATGGTCATTGGCAACATTCCCACTCTCATCCTTTGATTAGCCAATACTCCTAAACTAACACTTTCCCTTTATATAACTATAAAATTTCTTCTTATTGTCTTTTCTGTGCCTTGCAACTTTCCTTTCATGATCTTTTTTAGCCACTGTTATAAGTTGCTTTGTGGCCCTTTGTTGGTGTTCATTTTTGTCCCATTCTGTGGGATCTGTACTGTTCTTTGTGTTTTTGTAAGCCCTTTCTTTTAATTTTATGCCATCCCTTACCTCTTTAGATATTCATGGCTGTCTTTTTTGTACAAGTTTTCTTTCTCATGGGTACAAACTGCTTCTGAATAGCACTGAATGTTTCTTTGAACATCCTCCACTATTCATCATTGTTTTACCTTTTCACAGAGCTTCCCAGATTACTATGGACAGTCTTTACCTCATCCTATTAATGTTTGCTTTACTTAAATCAAAAATTCCAGTATCTGATCTTTGCTTATCTCTTACAAATGCTACGTAAAACTCACAAATGTTAGGGTTACTATTTGACCTCACTTTGATTATATTTATTTGATTAGGGCATCTTGGAAGGTTGAATAGAGAGGACCTGATTTACGTCTTCTTACCAGATTGTAACAATTAAGAAAACATTTTTTTTTGAAATAATGTTTTTTGAGAATGGTAGCTTTGTGTGAATTTATGTGTTTGTGTTTCATATTTGTGGAATTAAAACTGCTAATTAAAGTAATTGTGTGAAAGAAACAAATTAATTGAACTGATTAAGGAAATTTGTTGGATTACGAAATGCTTTGGATGAATAACATCAAAATATTTTCAAGATCTGATTTTCCACTTTAATATTTATATTATTTAGTCTTTATGATTGTAGTGGAAATATCTCAGATTGTCACTTCATTGAGGCATTTTCTTTACCTTATCATTTTGAAGAAAATGTACTTTCATCCCTTTATTTCCCATATACATGATGGGTTGCCCAAATTATATAAAGACCACAATGGCAATATTAGCAGAAATATGAATTATATTTTTGTTTGTGCAAGCTTTGTGATCAGTAAATCCACTTCACTTACTTTAATAAAAGAAGGCTTCCATATTCTTAATAACATATTAAATTCGACTAGACTTGATGGATATATAGCACAGGAGAAATCAGCACATCCTGCATTATTTTCACATATCTGTTAGGAAATGTTGAAAAGACAACTTCAATGAAATCATAAATGCTTGTCAGAGAGTATCACTTTCAGTTTAGTTACCTTTAGGAAACAGAAACATAAAATTGGGATTTTCTGTTCTGTGTACCATAATGTTACTTTGAGTTAAAATAATGTCAATGTTCCAATTTTGCATTTTTAATGTATTCTTAAGATGCGGACAAGGTCAGAAATCACATGACACCAGGTTACAGTCCAACAGGCTTATTTGAAAACACAAGCTTTCGGAGCCTCGCTCCTTCTTCAGGTGTTAGTGACTAACATGAGGTGGTGGTTTTGCAAACCACTATCCATGTTGAAGTTCACACTGTGTGTGATTGATACGGCCCTGGGCTGAGGGTGTGGGTAGTGACCCCACGTCCAGCATTTCTACCTTGCTTACATTAGGCACTTTAAACCCCTGCTATTTCTACACAGTCAGGACGATGATGTTGGGAGGTATGATTTATAGCACCCCATTGTAGTTCAGATCCATGGGATTCCCAGTTTGGAGTTGGGAACATTTGATGGATAAGTTCAATATGCGTCGACATCTTCACAATTCATACTGTAATAGTGTAGGAGAATACATCTGTATTCAATACACTGATTAATAATAGGGCTTTGATTTTTAAAACACAAGTAATCATTAGTAAATTAACTAGCATTATCAAAGTGCTCAGATGCATTGAATCACTTTGTCCAGTATTGAATTAAAATTTAGATGAGTCATCAGGACCATATGCTTCGATTCTTGTATTTTCAATCATTAAACAGCTGTTCAGCTGTTTCAAAGCTTCAACTTATAAATGGGCTTTAAATAAATGCAGAGATAACAAGGTGTAGAGCTGGATGAACACAGCAGGCCAAGCAGCATCAGAGGAGCAGGAAAGCTGACGTTTCACGCCTAGACCCTTTAATAAATGCATCTGCTGAGTCTTTATAAAAATGGGAAGATGCTCATCTGTTCAGACAGCTTTAAAGTTTCTAATGCTTTGAGTAATGGAGGGTTTGTGAAATGGGATATCATTATGAATGCTTGTCTGACCTGTCCAAGATTCATAAGTAAATTTTGGTCAGTCAGACTTGCTGACACAGCTGTGAGGAGTACTGTGAGATTGTCAGATTGATAATTCTATGAATGGTTAATGTGATCAAAGTTTTTTTTAAATATGGTTTTGAATAGTCATTTGTTTATTTTGAAGCAAAAACAGAAATTGCTGGAGAAACCTAGCAGGTCGAGCAGCATTTATGGAGACAAAGGCCCAGTGATACTTCTTCAGAAGAGAGCTAGGGTGCCTAACACACAGTTGTGGAACTGCACTGATGTCTCATTGAAAGAAAGCAGGCCTTCAAAGCTGCCAGCCATGGCATCTGCCTGCATCGGTTTCAGTTTCAGCCTGTTTCCAGACCTGGTGACTCTGATACTAGCCCACCTCCTTTCCACCATTCTGCTGTGAAAATGGTATCAGCAGGTACTGCAGGGAAGATGAGTTTACAACATTGGGTTATAGCCCAATAAGTGATTCTGCTTCCAGGATAAAACCCAGGGCTGAAGTGCCAATCCTGGCATTCTGCACCTATTGGCATTGTCTGGTCACATTCACTATGTGCACTGCAGCAGTTCAGGTAGAAGGTTTACTGTCACAACCTTGGGGGGAGCGAGGGACAGAGATTAAACAAAAACCTCTAATTCTGGCTTCACCAACAATGCAGGCCAACATAGCATCAGAAAGGTTATAAACAGGTTCTTATCCCAAAATATATTCATAAACCTATTTCTTAAAATTTAGTCGCACAGTCATTTATTCCTAGTTAACAAAAAATTAAATTTATGAGTTAAATTTTACAGTTTGCAGAATTGCACAACAGTATTTGAACTCTCAACTTTTAAGTTGTTAATCCAGTACTATATGCATTCCTGTACCGTGTTCTATTTTCTTGGATTGCACAAAATCTGACAAGACTGTAATTACCCCGATTGAGTTGATGAGATTTTCTTCTACTGGAGATGGCTCGTGAGGGTTTTTATCAAGTATCTTCAGGGGATCCATGAATTGAGAGTCATGGCAACTGACTGTATTGTTCTGCCAGGTGAAAAGGAAATAAATTGAAATACATTTTGAAAAAAGCAAAGGTCATAGACATCTATGACGACAACTTAATGGAGATACTGTTGGAAATGACAAAAAAAATTCCCATGGGAAGCAACAATGAAGCAAATTTGATGAAGATGCATAAAACTATAATTATGTGGCTAAAAATCAGGTTGCGAAATGTTGTGAAACCTCAATTATTGTATTAAGGTATAAAGTTGATGGGTAGTTTTCTACTGTATCAGCCTGTAATTTTACTCTGTATTAAAATAAATACATAAATTTAACTTAACTACCCACTTAAATACTGCAGCTTTAAGAATGGTAGGACATTTTAACTTTCCAAGTTTTTTTGAAGAAGTGATAGAGGACTGATCAATTCTGAGCAGTGGACATAATCTATATGGACATTTGACAAGGTTCTGCATGGTAGGCTGTTTAACAAGATTAGATCATGTGGAATGCAGGGAGAACTAGCCATTTAGATAGAGAACGGGCTCGAAGGTAGGAGACAGAGGGTGGTGGTGGAAGGTTGCCTTTCAGACTGGAGGCCTGTGACCAGCTGTGTACCACAAGGATTGGTGTTGGGTCCACAGCTTTTTGTCATTTATACAAATGATTTGGATGTGAAAAATGGAGGAATAGTTAGTAGGTTTGCAGATGACACCAAAATTGGTGTTTAGAGGTCAAAAAGGTTACCTCAGAGTACAACAGTACACATGGGCCGGGGAGTGGCAGATAGAGTTTATTTAGATAAATGTGAGGTGCTGCAAATGTGAGGTGTGGAAATACCCAGCAAGATCATCCCCTTTTCAAAACATTTTGGGATACCAGCTGTCTCAAAGGAACATTATGGGACATTGTGTTGAGTTGCTGAGGCATGAGAATTTAAGGTCCAGTTTCTTTCAATGACATTGTTGAAATTCATTTCTCTTTATTGTATCGAGGATGGAATTATTTGTTTGCAATGACTTTCACAGACTGATTTTTTCCTTTGTCATTTTTGGGTTTTATAGACAGCAACTTTTTTTTTAAATTCACGGGATGTGGGCATCACTAGCTGGACCAGCATTTATTACCCATCCCTAACTGCCCCAAGGACAGTTAAGGGTTAGCCTCTGGAGTCACAAGCAGGCCAGACAAGGTAAGGATGGCAGTTTCTTTCCCCCACCAACAATCAGCAATGTATGCATGGTCACCATTAAACTCTTATTTCTAGAATTTTATTGAATGCAAATTCCACCATTTACTATGATGGGATTGTGAACCCAGGTCCCAGAACATTGCCTGGGTGTCTGGATTAACAGTCTAGGGATAATACCACTAGGCCATCACCTATGTGTTAATACACAGATAGGTGATGGCCTAGTGTTATTATCCCTAGACTGTTAATATCTGCGTATTAACACTTATGGCAGTTTTTAAATGATGACAAAAATCAAGTGTCAAACATAGGAAAGTCAGAAAATAGAATCCAATATAAGAATCTGCAGAGATACACCATAACACTAATATAGATCAGAGATAAGCTACAGGATTTCAGTGTAGATCTCTGATATATGCTTCTATCTAGCAAGGCTGCATACTAGGAAAACAGATATCTGAAAAAATCCTCATGTTTATTAATAACTGTCTGATCAAATACATTTTTACATTCTAGAGTGAAAATTAAGCATTCAGGCCCCTTATTCACCATATTCATTGTGCTGACTGAAAAACAAATCAAACATCAAAGTATAAAATGGTAACTTACAGAAGAAAATGTAATTCCTGTCAAATATAGAAGGGTATTGTTCTCAGGAGAGATGTATGGGAACATTATAGTCATCCTAAGGAGCGCAATTGGAAAGACCCCGTCATTGTGGATCTGTGAGCAAAATAAAAGGGTTCATTTAAGGACCATTTGATCTTACAGAATTGTTTTAATTAGTGGTGGCAACATATCACATTGCTTTCAGGCAGAAATTATTGGTGCTTCAGGATCAGTTTTTGAACGTTGAATTTCATCTCTACAACTATATTGTACATGTTGCTTGTTTTAGTGAAAAGCAAGCATTGGTGCAAAAATATTTCAGTATGTACACATTCAATTCTCACCAATGGCAACATTTTCATGCCTAGATGACAAAATCCATTCCTTATTTCCAAATTTCAGTTTTGTGCTGCAGTCAGGTTAAAATTCTGTCCTCAATTTCCGTCAGTGATGTAGCTTTAGTGAGCAGGTCAGGAATGGAACTTCTGGCCAATACGTGGCACAATTCTAACCTCATTCATTTTGCTTGGGCTCACAACACACTTTGCACCTTCCACTGAGAGTTTGCCATTCTGTCTCTGCAGTGTTTCATTGGGAAAATAGATTAAAAAGAGGTTGAAAACTTTGATAGCCTTTGAATGCGCGCTGGGAACATAATATGTTATCCATCGTTTTTGGTGGCTTCCACATAAATTCTGTATTGCATGATAATTTAAATGATTGTGGCAAGTTGTCATTGCTAAGTGCATCAGTTAAACCCAGCCTGCACTTCTTAAAGGGGAGGTGTATTTTGGCTGATCACCATTTGGATGTCATTCTATTCGTTATTGCAATATGAAAGTTTTGTGAGGAGTTGAATTTTGCCTGTGAAGGCTGGAGATAGGAGCTGGCACTGCTTTGCAGTTCCAAACCTAGTTCTGATGTGAATATTATTAAATCTAGGATTTTCATCTGGCTAAAAGCTTGGAATAGAAATGGGGGATGGTGGTGAATGTAATCCAAGTGAGAAGTGGTTGGAGAACCAGCTTTGACTCCTTTGGGGAACACCTGCTGGAGTTAAATACCAACCAGACACTTAATTGGTCAGTAAAAACTGAAAGAACTGCGGATGCTGTAAATTAGGAACAAAAACAAAGTTGCTGGAAAAGCCCAGCAGGTCTGGCAGCATCTGTGAAGGAAAAAACAGAGTTAATGTTTCAGGTCCGGTGATCCTTCCTCAGAACTG